AAGAGAGGGCTGTGAGAGGTGTGTGAGAGGGCTGTTGGAGATTTGTGCCTGTATGGATGGCAGAAGCTTTTTCCGAAGGGAAGCGTTTTTTCTTGGGAAGTTCTCCTAAGCCGATTTGGGGAGCATAAAGTTTTCTTAACACAACCCAACCGACCGGTCTCTGTGTCATCAATCCTCGCCACATTCTCGGATACAGGTTGCGCAGCAGGCGCGGCAATTTTATAACAGAGCATCCTTTATTCCAGATGCTGTCTGGGAGCTTTACAGGCCCTTAAACAACTATGCAGTTGACACTAACTTTTGACCCATTTTACAGATGAGAAAATGGAGGCACAGGGGAATTAAGGCACTTGACCACCTAGCTAGTGAGTGGGCTAGGTTGTAAACCCAAGCAGTCTGATTTCTGAACCTGAAAGTCTAATCAACCTCTTGTTGGTGATGCTGTTTATTATTATTATTGTTAAAACGTTTCAGTGAATATTTTCATTTGACTGTTTCCAGAGGATAATTTCCATGTAGGTTTTATTTAGTAAATGCTATTAAATAATATCAAGTGCCCAATGCTGCTCTAAGCACTTTAGAAAAATTAATTTACTTGATCCAAATAGCAACCCTAAGACTCAGGACCCATTGTAGATTGCACACTGTGTGTCAGGCATAGGGAAACTAACCAAAGTGGTACAGCAGGGATCCCAGGCTGGGCCCTTGGGTGCCATGGTCGTTCCTCAGCTGTCAATTTATATAGCCTCTTTCCTAAGGAAGTAGCAAGTATCATGGACCATCATGTGGGAATAGAACTACCAGATTGCACCAAAGATCATGAAGTCAACGAATGCTCCTGTCTTGTTCTAGCTATCTTTTGCTACATAATCAAGATGTATTTAAGATTCTGTTGTATACTCATGTATGCATACTATTACCCATGATATTAATTTAGTTATTAAAAATATTTTATTCTTGAGAATTTCATACTATGTATTTTAATCACATTTAACCTCCCTAGCTCCTCTCAGATACATCCCCTCTCCTGCTAATATCACTAAAGCAATAACTATGGAGTCCAATTTGTGCTGCCTATGTCCTCATCTGTGTTGGCCTATCTATCCATTGGAGCATGGCTACACCCTTAAAGAAAACCCATTTCTTTTCCAGGCCTTCTTCAAGAACACTAACTCTTAGTATCTCCTTCAGCTAGGGGTGGAGGGTCTGGAGTTCTTCCCCTTTGTGCTAGAACATTGAATGGCTTGATCTTGTTCAGGCAAACAGCCGCTGTGAGTTCATGAGTGCAGGGGGTTTGTGGGGTCCAGAAGACCCTGGTTTTGTTGTTGTTTTTCCCTTCTGGCTCTTTTAGTCATTTCTGCCTGACTCTTGCAAGGGGGCGGTGTTATATAGATGTCTCTTTTATGGCTGAGCAATCAATAGACACTTATTCTTTGCACTTTGACCCGTTGTGAATTTTTGTGTTAACCATCATCCACTGCACAAAGAAACTTCTCTCATGAGGTCTGAGAGCTGCTCTAATCTGTGAGGATAGAGATTATTCAAAAATAATTAAGAAAAACATAGAGAAATTGAAAATCATCAGATGATGTACCATTCTTAGATAATAACTCCTGTTTTGTAGGCTTCCAATATATTTTTCATCAAAGTATAAATGTACATACATTAAAACATAAAATTGCTATCCTTTTTTGCAATGAAAATGATTTTTGATGTTAGTTTTAAAAACTGTAATGCTTATTGCTTTTGTAAAATGAAAGGATATATTGTGATTAAACAGTCTGTGGCAGAAACAGGTTACATTCTGTTTTCTTTTTTTCTGGAGAGCCCCCATGGTGATGAGTGCCCTCACACCTTCTGAGCATCTGCCTTCAGGCTACCTTTGGGCTCTAAGGCACAGGGGCAGCTAGCAAATTTTGTTCCTTCCTTTCTGTCCCCAGTTTGGACCGTCCATATCTGCTGTTGTAGCACTTCCCATTCTTTGTTCTTTTGTTTGTGTTTTATCTGGAGTTCTTGGCTGATATGTGTGGGACCCTCAAGTCCTGTGGGATCTCCTGGGCCTTACCAGAAGCTGGGTACTTGGGTCTTCTAAGGATGAAATAGGTGTTGTATCCCAATTTAGTCAGTGCTCTATTGCTGTGAAGAATAGCAGCTCTTAGAAAAGAAAGCATTCAATTGGGGGCTTGCTTACAGTTTCAGAGGCTTAGTCCATTATCATCATGGCAGGGAGGCAGGCATGTTTCTGGAGGAGTAGCTGAGAGCTACATCTGGAATCTGGATCTGAAGGCAGAGAGAGTTAAGGGAAAGATATATATATATATATATATATATATATATATAGAGAGAGAGAGAGAGAGAGAGAGAGAGAGAGAGAGAGAGAGAGAGAGAGAGAGAGAGAGAATGGGCTATGAACTGGACCAAGCATGGGTCCAGACTTCCTCCAGCAAGCCAAATCCACTCCAAGTCCCACCTCCTAATCCTTCTCAAATAGTGACACTCCCAGATGACTAATCATTCAAATATATGAGTCTATGTGGGCCATTCTTATTAAAGCACCACCTATCCCAACAGTTAAAACTCTGAGCCATGTGACACCCACCAACCTAAGTAGCACTTTTCATTTGTCATTTAATAGCAATTTATGTATGTGTTCGTGTGAGGTTTTCTTACCATGGGGGCCTGTGAATTCCTATGACCCAGCACTCAGTCCTAGCATGCAATAAGAGCTCATTAATTATATGTTTAAGAAATGAATCAGGCACGTGATGATAAGGGTGTAAACCAGAATAAAGTCACAGCTCTGGTTGGCATAAGTGACTCTCAATGGCTCATGGTGGAGGGCTTGTTCCCAGGGTGGGGTGTTGGAAAGTGGTAGGACATTTAAGAAGTGGAGCCTAATGAGAGTTCTTGTGCTCACGGGGGTGTTTCCTATTAGGATCCAATTTCTCTTTTTTCTTGGATTTTGTGCTAGTTAGGAGGTGAAGGGCTTACTCCAACCATGATGTGCTCCCGCAGGACTGGAGTATCCTCAATGAGAACCCAAATGAACCTTCCAATTTAGAAGCTAGACAGCCTTGGTGTTTGTTATAGTAACAGTATACAGTAGGGCTAATCCACCAGAGTCAGTGCAGGCCACCGGGAGAAATGGGCACAGGATCAAGGAAGCTTAGAGAGAACTTTGTGAATGTGTGTGTGTGTGTGTGTGTGTGTGTGTGTGTGTGTGTGTGTGTGTGTGTGTGTGCCTGTGCAGGCAAGCATGTGTGTACATGTGTGGACCTGTGTGTATGTGGACAGAGCATAAGTACAGGGAGGTTAGATAAAGACATCAGGTGTCCTGTCCAATCACTCGCCATAGATACCCTCAATATAGGGTCTTTCATTATTCCTGGATCTAGGCTGCAAGAAGACTCCATGGGTTCTCCTTTCTCTGTCCCTCAGTGATGGTGTAATCATGGCCATGCACAGCTTTTCACATGGGTTCTGGGGATTTGAACTCAGGTCCTCAAGCCTTTGCAGCAATGCCCTTTTTAAAAAATTGTTATTATTTGTTATTTAGGTTAGAAACAATCTTGTCTCACATGTCAATCCCAGCTCCCTCTCACATTCAGGGGGTCTGGGTCAGTCCCATGCTTTTCACACAGCTATCAATCTGGGGTCCAAGAGCTCCCCCTTGTTCAGGTCAACTGTTTCTTCGGGTTAAACCAGCCCAGTCTTAACTCTTTTGCCCATCAGCTCTCTCTTTCTGACACTGGATTCCAGGAGTTCAGTTCAGTGTTTGTCTGTGGGTATCTGCCTCTGCTTTCATCAGTTGCTGGATGAAGGTTCTGTTTCCCAGACTCTCTGGCAGTGGGACTGTAGGCTGGCACTCCCTTGATTCATGTCTAAAGTCCATATACGAGTGAGTACATACAATGTTTCTCTTTTGTAACTAGGTTACACCACTCAGGATGGTTTCTTATAGTGTCATCCATTTGTCTGCAAATTTCAAGATTCCATTGTTTTTTTTCTGCTGAGTAGTATTCCATTGTGTAAATGTACCACATTTTCTCTATCCAATATTCAGTTGAGGGGCATCTAGGTTGCTTCCTGGTCCTGGCTATTACAAATAATGCTGTTATGAACATAGTAGAACAGACATCCTTGTTGTATGAATGTGCATCTTTTGGGTATATGCTTAAGAGTGGAATGCACCACATGCTCTTACCAAGTAAGTCATCACCTTACCCTTTTACAAAGAATTTTTAGAGAATTTCCATACTGACTAGTTGAGGTAGGTGTGAGAAGGTAGTAATATATTCAGGACTTGTGGGATAAGTCTGTGCTTGGTTAAACCTAGACACTCTGAGCACCAAGGAACAAGGCACACCGGTGTTTATATGGTGACCATCACTCCTAATCCGGAATTAATTAGCATTGATCTTGCCCGTGGCCCTATCTTAGCTGGAATTGAGATCAAAAAGCAGTAACAAAGTTTTTAAATCTCCACCCTTTATCAGGGGCAGCGGGTTCTGCCGGGAGAGAAACGAGCATGTGTCGAATCCGGGAAATCTGCAATGAAGGGATGTTTCTCTATGATAAGGAGCTGTGTGTTGAAATTTAATCCTCCAAACCACTACCTCTGCAAGACTGCATTAAATGGCTCCCATTAGTGTGACTGCACCCAGATACCCAGAGAGCAGGGGAATATTTGAAACCCCCATGAGGTGCAAGGTGTCAGGAGCCAAGCTTCTGCCTTGATTTAGGAGCTCCACTAAATTCCTAAGTGGAAATGGCTGACAGCTTCAGATGCGGAACTCTTTCATCTTCCTGATGGAATGCACCTTGGCTTGTGCAGTAAAATGAAAACCGGTGGTGAACGGCGCAGTAAAGTTCATGTTCCCTTAGTAGCAAGGTGAGGATGGGAGCGTAATTACGTGTAGAAATGCTGCCCTGGGCCTTCTTGCCCATAGTGGCTTGGAGAGGGGCGGCATCTATTACAGATTCTAGGGCAACTTGTATAATCTAAAGGTTTCTCATTAGCATCTTGCATTCGGCTGCAGTCTCGGGCTCTTGGCTAATCCTGTAGCAGAAAGTGGTTGTTCCTGGAGTCTCATTTAAGGTGTTTGGCTCCAGAAACATCTCTCCTAATGCATTCCTGCAGGGTTCCATGAAAGAGAGAACTGTGATTTTTGAAGGAGCTTTTGTTACTATTTCTGTGCTAGGCTCTCACCAGGAGATCTGCATGCCTGCCGTCCATTCCTAAGGGTAAAACCTTAGGGGACTGCTTACTTCTCAAAATCAGGAGGAATGCTCTAAAGTGTTCTCATGACACTAGAGGTCGAGAAGAAGCAAGCAGAAGGAAGAATTGGATTGGGGTGGGGGAAAGAAGTGGGCAAGAGTTGGATGGGGGCCCTGAAAGACAAGCTTGGTGCATTCATAGTATTTCAGAAGCTAGAACAATGCTGTTAACCAGAAGTCAATGACCCGCACCTGTGCACCCTGACTTCAGGAGTTCTATTTGCTAATCTCTGGGCCCTGAGCACTACATTATGCATGCTCAAAACACATCACTCTCCAGTGCAAATAGACCCAGGAAGGAATAGCTTGGTGCAGTCACACAGGCACCCCTGCCACTACCACTTTCTCTCTGTGCCAATGTCACTCTCCTGCCTGTCAGCAAGATTCCAAGGCAGTGACTAGCTGAGGGCCCAAGAGTTCTCTATCAGTTCCTGCCATAGGCAGCCTGTGTGTGCCCAGGATTTCCTCATGCCCTTCCAGAAACCAGCCCTGCGTGTCTCTTGGACTGCCTCTCAGGTAAGGTAGAGACCGTGGAGTCATTTAATCATGTTTTACTATGTATTGAGAACTACATTTTGCCCTGGGACAGTGAAACCAGCACCCCATGGGGTGGTTCCAGAGGACTCCGGTATGCTGCTGGAGCTGAGCTCCACAACCGTGAGGCATAGACCCAATGATGGCTTCAGGCTGGGTTATGTGGGGACTGGTTATATTCTTTGGTTAGTTTCCCTAGCTTGACATCCAGAAGTCTCAGTTCCCACACAGTTGGGTGTGTCTGCTCTTGCACGGTGCTAGTGGTATACTTGGAAGTTGAACTTCAGATCTTAGATTCAGCCTAGGTGGATCTGATTTGAGATTTGTGTCTTTTGGGTGGGAAAAAGTATGACAGAATGTTTAAAGCAGACACAAAAACAATCTCTGACTGTGTTACTTTATCTAAACTCAGAATTTTATCTATAAAATCAGAATAGTGGTGTACCGCTATTGGGTCATGCATGGAAGGCATTTGACAAGAAAAGGAACAGAATGGAAAAGTGTTGCTTTGTTTCACAGTTATCATTGAGCTATCTTGCAAACCAGGGCTGTGAACTCACTGTGACACACGTGGCTGGTTCAGTGAGAATCCTTGACCACTGTTGAAAAGCTATTGTGCGCGCACATCTTGGTGATAAAACCCGTGTGACTTATCTTTGTAAGTGAGGGACATCCTTGGCCTTGCTGTGTAATTCTGTGAGCTCCTCTAAGACAGCCATTTCCTCCTGGAAGACATAGCCATTGTTCCCAGCACGGAGAACTCCAGCCCTGGAGTGTTGACACTTTTCTAGAAACACCATCTTTTGATTAGAGGTCCTTAAACCAGTACAGAATGAGTGTCACCTGGAGAGCTTATTAAGACAGATCATAGGCATAAACCCTAGAGTTCCCGATTGAGAGTGGGGGGATGGGCAGGCATTTGTATTTCTAGCAAGCTCTCAGGTGAAGCAGATGGTGCAGGTTTGAAGTCCTGTGGAGAGTGTTGTGTAGACTTTTGTAGGGAGTCATGGGGTTGTCTTTAGGCTGGTATCATTATCCATAGATGCCCCTTAGATTTTTCCTGGGGGCTTTGAAAAATGCTGATCCTCAGGTTTCACTGATCATCTGTCTCTGGGAATGAGGCTAGGGTTCTCACTGTAAATCAGATACTCTGCTTTGGACCGTAGAACAAATGTGAATGAGCTCTCTGCCATGTCTCTAAACTCTGGTACTCCTGTTCCCTCCTACCTGTGCCATCTCTCTCTGTCCCTGGATCTCACCTCTGCACCAGCAACACAGCCTCCTTTCTGTTCCTCCCGGACACTTGTTTCTCCCCTGTCCTAGGCTTCCAGCTGGTCCTGGCCATGTGGAACACTTCTGATCATAAGCCTGCTGCTTCCTCTCGACAGTGGTTTTTCAGCTCCCGTCTCCCCTCCCAAGAGATCCCTTTCTTGGCTAGCCTGTTAAATGTGGCCACCACAGGGACCAGTGAAGTTCACAGTCTGCACAACTGACCTGGGTCCTCTTCGCCTCATAGACATTGAGAATTTGTAAGGATACACCATGACATTTTCATGCAAATGGCAGTAAAACCTGTGGAGTTTGTAGTGGCTCTCTTCTCCACAATTTGTAGGTCTGGCTCAATGCCAGGTGTCTTTCTCAATCACTTACCACCCTTATTTTTGAGACAGGATCTTTCACTAAATATGTTTGGCTAGATAGGCTTGCTGGCCAAGGAACTCTAGAGACCTGCCTGCTTCTATGTCCCCACAGTGCTGGGGTCACAGACACAAATTGCTGCACCCAGCTTATACTCAGGTACTGGGGCCAGAACTCAGGCCCTCAGGCTCATGACTGAGACAACTCCCCAGCCTGGTAGCAGTTGCTCTCTCCCCCCTTCCTCCCTCCCTCCCTCCTCTTCCTTCCCCTCCCCCTCCCTTTTACTTTCTTCTTCCTTGGCTTTTTGAGATAGGGTTTCTCTGTGTATCCCTGACTATCCTGGAACTCACTCTGTAGACCAGGCAGGCCTCGAAGGCAGAAATCTGCCTGCCTCTGACTCCTGAGTACTGGGATCAAAGGCATGTACCACCATGACTGACTTTCTCTAATTATTTCAAAATGCATACATTTGATAATGTCATGCAGCTGTTAGGAATGCTCTTTACTGCCCATTCTTTGCAGCATGGATCAAATTTTAATGTTTTGTTTCTTTAAATGATCACTAGTGGGTCATGTCTCCTTTAGGTGAAATCGCTTTTCCCAGCAAAGGCCTTATTTGCCTTGTTCACTGATATCCCAAGTGCAGCCTCAGTGCATTTATGTATTTACTGACTGACTGAGTTCCGTTGATCAGGTACTAATGGAGTCTCTTTTCCGTGACCATTACTGTTACTTACAGGCGATGTCCTACAGATCTGAGAATGGGTTCCGGAGCACCTGGGACGAGCTTTGGCACAGTGGAGGCCAATCTGCTGTAGCCCAGACTGAGTTGGCCTCTTGTCTGCCTGTGTAAGTTCAGAGCAGACAATGGTGAGGGCGCTCAGGCAGATCAACTGCAGCTGTATCTGGCAGGAAGATATGACAGGTGATTAAGCAGCCCGCGCGTCCTTTCCTCCAAGAGGGGTGGAGCTGTGGAAGTGTCAGTAATCGATAATTGCCCATTTTATATGGAGACTTTATAGGCCAATCTCAATTAATTGTTTCTGAAAGAGTAGTAAAATTAGGCAAGGAGGCCATCCGAGATGATGGGTAGCAAGGGGCGGCAGCTCAGACAGGCAATTAGCATCACAGAGGTCAGAGCGGCCTGGATGTGAAGGGCATCCTGCATCCAGGACCAGACAGACCATCAGCATAAGCAGAGTCCTGCCTGGAGTTTCTATAGCAAACAGAAGGGTTGGTGAGAAATGCAGAGAGGGCTGGTTTGAGAGACATTTGAGTGGGAGACTGGTGGTCAGAAACTAGCAGGCTCCTTTCCGGGTCACCTTGGTTCACCCTTAGGCACAAAAGGTTTTTGCCCCATTGATGTAACTCAGCACTTTCAGCAGGCTTTGAGTACACAGTGCACATTTCTGTGTGGAACTGAGTGAGATGGAAAAAAAGAGCTATTCAAACCACGATCCTTGAATTTCAGGAGTGTTCACAGCATGTGTCCAGAAAGTCACAGGCCTCAGGAGCTGGGTGACAGGCTTCGAGGCCTAAAACATGCTATTTAAAAATTTTTCAATAACACAGTTGATAATATCTAATCTGCACCTTTTGTGTGGTTCTGCAAAGTCTAGTTGAGCAGAGAACCATAGAGTAGTAAGTGTGTGTTGATTTCTAAAGAAAATGATTAAGAAACTAGCTGGATAAAATGAGAGAGAATGCAGTAATTATGTACTCTTGACTACCTAGAACAGTACTGTAGATTTATACAAACGAGTATGCATGTTTTGTGTCTGGAAATGTGAAAACAAAACAAAACTACAACAACCAGATTTTTCTCAAAGTTTTCATTAAAAATGTGGAGAGAGGAGCAAGATTAACTGGACCTGTTTGCATCACCTTCCTCCTCCTCCTCCCCCCTTCCCCCTCTTTTTCCTCCTCTCTTTCCCACTCTCCCCCAGTTGATGTAACAATGAACTAGAAGTTCCCCCGAGAGATGGCTGGAGGATGGAAGAGCAAGGAGCCCGCTTAATCAATTCCGGCTTTCTGATCAATCAAAGGCAGGCTGGCCTCTTAAGAGGCCCAGTCTCCTGCTTCTGTTCGCACAGATGATAACATCTTGTCTGGCTTCTTTTTGGCCCTGGAGGGGGCGAACAACCTGGAATCTCCATGACCCAACTACTTGAAGAGGGAACAGTATGTATCTGCTGGTCAAACTGAGTGACCAACAGTTGCTAATCACGTGGGAAGGTTCCGGAACAAGGAAGTTAGGCAGGTAGCATTTCTAGGAAGTCAAATGGATTTTATCTCATGTCAACAACTACTAGTAGTTTAAAACAGAGTGACAATGCTGACAGTTGCTCTTAACCCATTTCCCTTGATGACTTTACTATCACTGAAAGAGAACTTGAGAGAATTCTTAATTCTATGCCCCCTTTTTTTCCTTGTTTCTTTTTTCCCTCTTTTTAAAATTTAAGTTAGAAACAAGTTTGTTTCACATGTCAATCCCAGCTCTCTTCCTCCCCTCCTTCCCATCCCTCCCCACCAGGTCCCCCAGCCCCCCACCCAATCTCCACTCCCAGGTAGAGTGAGGCCCTCCATAGTGGAGCTCCAGAGTCTGTCATGTCATCCAGGGTAGGGTCTAGGCCCTCCTTCAAAGTCCAGGCTGAGAGAACATTCCATATTTTAGGATGGGCACTCAAACTGTATTTGTACGCCAGGGATAAATACTACCCAAGGCCCCACTGATTACCTAGGCCTCCTCACTGACACCCACATTCACGGTGCTTCCACACAACCATCAATCTGGAGTTCAAGCACTCCCTCTTGTTCAGATCAACTGTTTCTGTGGGTTAAACCAGCCCAGTCTTAACTCCTTTGCCCATCAGTTCTCTCTTTCTGACACTGGATTCCAGGAGCTCAGTTCAATGTTTGTCTGTGGGTATCTGCCTCTGCTTCCATTAGTTGCTGGATGAAGATTCTTTTCTCAGACTCTTTGGCAAGGGGATTGTATGCTGGCACTCCCCCGATTCATGTCTAAAATCTGTATATGAGTGAGTACATACTGTGTTTCTCTTTTTGTGACAGGGTTACCTCACTCAGGATGGTTTCTTTTAGTGCCATTCATTTGCCTGCAAATTTCAAGATTCCATTGTTTTTTTTTCCCCGCTGAATAGTACTCCACTTTGTAAATGTACCACATTTTCTCTAGCCACTCTTCAGTTGAGGGGCATCTAGGTTGTTTCCAGGATCTAGCTATTACAAATAATGCTACTATGAACATAGTGGAACAGACATCCTTGTTGTATGAATGGGCATCTTTTGGGTATATGCCTAAGAGTGGAATTGCTGGGTCTTGTGGTAGACTGATTCCCATTTTCCTGAGGTATCTCCATACTGATTTCCAAAGTGGCTACACGAGTTGGCACCCCCACCAGCAGTGTAGGAGTGTTCCCCTTTCTCTACATCCTCTCCAGCATAAACTGTCATTGGAGTTTTTAATTTTAGCCATTCTGACAGGAGTAAGATGATATCTCAGAGTTGTTTTGATTTGCATTTCCCTAATGACTAATGATGTTGAGCACTTTCTTAAGTGTCTCTCAGCCATTTTAGACTCCTCTACTGAGAATTCTCTATTTAGTTCTGTACCCCACTTATTGATTGGATCCTTTGGTTCTTTGGAGACTTGCTTCTTGAGTTCTTTGTAAATTTTGGAGATCAGCCCTCTATCAGATGTGGGGTTAGTGAATATCTTTTCCCAACCTGTGGGTTGCCTTTTTGTCTTGCTGACTGTGTCCTTTGCCTTACAGAAGCTGCTCAGTTTCAGGAGGTCCCATTTATTAATTGTTGATCTTAGTGTCTGTGCTACTGGAGTTATGTTCAGGAAGTGGTCTCCTGTACCAATTCAATTAAGGGGCGTCCCACTTTCTTTTCTAAGAGGTTCAGTGTGGCTGGATTTATGTTGAGGTCTTTGATTCATTTAGATTTAAGTTTTATGTATGACAATAGACATGGATCTATATGCAGTCTTCAACATGCCAGCATCCAGTTATGCCAGCACCATTTGTTGAAGATGCTGTCTTTTTTCCAATGTAAACTTTTAGCTTCTTTGTCAAATTAAGTGTTTGTAGGTGTGTGGGTTATTATCAGGGTGTTCAATTGGATTCCACTGGTCTACCTGTCTATTTTTGTGCCAATACCAAGCTGTTTTCAGGAGTATAGCTCTGTAATACAGCTTGAAGTCAGGGATGGTAATGCCTCCGGATGTTAAACAGGGTCTTTTCTTATTGCAGATCTGTTCTACCCAATACGATGGCCAGTAGCCACCTAAGAACTGAAATGGTTAAGTTTAAGTTGAATTTCGATTTGATAGTTTAGGTTAAAGTTTTAATGCTCCTTAGAGGCTATGTGGCTAAGTGGCCATGTGAACAGTGGCACACTGTTACCATGTAAACAGTTACCACACTGGCTACTTCAAGGGTGGAATACTCATGTAAATGGACCATGCTGTATATGATGGGCACTTGATGACACCACAGTATACATCAGCCTGCTTTAAGGGAAGGTCACTCATCCTATGGGATTAGGGAAGGTGGATGTTTGGGGTAGAGAGGCAACAGCCAGAGAGCTTTTTGAGTTTTCCCCATTCCCAGTCATTTCTCAGTTTACTTGCACAGCCCCAGGACATGTCTCTTGTCAGTATACTGCCTCCATCTGGGATTGGCTTCTCCATGGGAGTCTGATGTCTAACCTGGGTTTGCTAATTCAAGGGAATTTTTGCCATTTCTAGAGATGGTTAATAGGTGATAAATCAAAAAGGAGAAAAATCACAAATAATTCCATTCTTAGTGCATTGGCTCACTGATGTTTTTAGCCCCAAGGCATTGAAGCAGTCCTCAGGCAAAGCTTGCCCTCTGTGGCAGACAGCATGTTTAACAGCTAGGAAGGAAAAGAACTTAGGGGTGGAGGGACATTTATTTTGGAATTTCTCCAAGTGTGGTCTAATGATGGAGTTAGCAGGAATGTGCTGGCTGGTCCAAACTCAGGATGTTTCACTTAAACGTATCTCATCCATAGAGCAGATTCACAGCTGCCCTGTGAATGATGCAGGAGGCATCGATTGAGTGTTAAGAAAACAAGTATCTCTATTGGGTTTGAGAAAATACAATGTGCCACCTGCTTAGTGAAAATCAATAATGCAGGAGAATTTACTGGCTGCCGTTCAAATCTTAGTTCCCCTAATTGTCGGGTCTGGCAAAGTCACTGGTTTCCGAGGTTAGAGGTTAGCCAGTCAGTACCACTCACTAGCTCCTTGGTAGACCAGGAAAGAGTTTTGAGTTGTTTTCTATGATAATGAAACGGGAAACAGCAGAGAAAGCTGGCTGCTGAGCAAGCTGGAGGCTGAAGAATGAAGAGCTGTTCCTAAGAGTCCAGGGTCCACAGTGTTGAAGATAATTACAGGGCAGCGCTTGCTGCAGAGTTCCCTGAAGCAGGAATCTTCGCCCCGGCTTCCTCGTGTTGTGTGAGTTTCTTCTCTCTGGGCCTGGTTGGGGTTTGAGTTGATGACCCTGCTTGAGGGAAACACAAGCACTGTTTCTAACTAGCACAATTTGAAAAAAAAAACAAAGAGAGAGAGAGAGAGAGAGAGAGAGAGAGAGAGAGAGAGAGAGAGAGAGAGAGAGAGAGAGAGAGAGAGGCCACCAAGAGCCCAGGATATGGCCAGAATCGTGGTTTGTACTTGCTTTGCAGGGTTCATCCTGTTATGAGCATTAAGAAAGAATAGAAAGACTTTAGAGGCAGGATGAGAGAATCGGAACATGCAGGGCAGGGGAGCTAGCTGAGGGGAAGGGGTAGCAGTGGTGAGCAAGCTGAGTATTGAACTCTGGACAGTAATGTGGTGAGTTATAGTCTCAGCCCCGAAGGATGGCTGAGTCTCATCAAGTCTCTCAGTTTTACTAAGTTGTCACTCTTGTGTTATATTATCCGAACCGGTAACTACTCCGAAGAGGAATCAGCCCTCTACTCTATGCAGTTACCTCCCTGATATTGATTTTGTGTGTGTGTGGGCAGTGATTCATGGGGCTACCCCTCCCTTTTCTGCCCGTTCTGCATTTCCAAGGCATCTGTGATTTGCCTCAGTTTAGTGCCAACCCTGCCTGGATTTTGTCGTGTTTTCAGATGATGTCTTGGGGTTTGGGGGATGAGGGAGGATATGTGGTAAAATCACCTGATACATGGTGAAAGGAGTAAGGCGAGGAGTGAGGCGACTCTACACCAGGGGCAGACCGCAGCTGCGGTTCCCACTCTCGACTCAAGGCCGTCTCCTGGGAGGAAGGCTGTGTTTTATGAATCATTTTCCTGGACACACTTTCTGGGTTTGCTGAAAAATGTGTTCCAGGCTCTGCTATGAAGAAAAGTGAGGGTCTGTTAGGCCAGAGCTAGGGGTACAGCCCGATGCTGGAGGGCTTGCCTGGCAAGCTGGAGGCCGTGGGTTTCACCCCCAGCACTGCATGAAGGATCACTTAAAAATAGACAGTGGACCATGTGGTTTCTTGTGGTTTTGTTCTTTGGTAGGAGGAGGTGTGGTGGGAGATTCTCTGCCTCTTCTCAGGGGGGACTCAGGGTGAGGAGTTTTAGTCCTGCTGGCTGGTGATTAGCTTTTGGTCAGCCAAGTGCTTAGCTCATGTTGAAGGGTGATGAAGTTTGGGAGAATCACATGAAAGTGTAGGTGTGTGTGGTGCACACACTTGTGCAAGTGGAAGATAGAGGACAAGCAGGAATATTGTTCCTCTGGTACCTTTTGCCTTGAGCAGCTTTGGGCAGCTTCTTTCCCTGGCTGATGCTCATCAGGTAGACTAGGCTGGCAGGCAAGGCAGTCCCACCTGTCTCCACCTTGCCAGTCTGGGTTATAGATACATGCTCTGGGCCTGGATCTTTTAAAAATATTCTTCTCTCAGGTATTGCGTCCCCACTGCAGTTTCCCCTCCCTCATCTTCTCCCACTTCCTCCTTCCAACATCCCCTCTCCCCCAGATCCACTCTTCTTCCATTCCCTTCAGAAAAGGGCAGGCTTCCCAGGGATACCAACCAAACATGGCATGTCTAGTTATAACAAAACTAGGCACATCCCCTCATATTAAGGCTAGACAAGGAAGCCCAGTAGGAGGAAAAGGGTCCCAAGAGCAGGCAAAAGACTCAGAGACAGTCCCTGCTTCCACTGTTAGGAGTCTCACAGGAACACCAGGCTACACAACTATAACATATATGTAATATATGTAGAGGGCCTGACTCTTATCTCTCTCTTTCTTCTTTCTCTCTCTCTCTCTCTCTCTCTCTCTCTCTCATCTATCTATCTATCTATCTATCATCTATCTATCTATCTATCTATCTATCTATCTATCTATTGTTACTCTATTTTTTTTAATGTAGGTTACAAACAATCTTGTTTCACATGTCAATCCCAGCTTCCTCTCCCTCCCCCTTTCCCCCTCCCTCCTCACCAGGTCCCCCAGTCCCCCACCCAATCTCCAGTCCGATCACCAAGGAGGGTGAGGCCCTCCATGGTGGCTCTCCAGTGACTGTCATTTCATCCAGGGCAGAGCCTAGGCGCCCTCCCCCAAGAGTCCTGGCTGAGAGAGCCTCCCATATTGTGGTGTTGGCACTCAAAGTCTATTTGTACACCAGGGATAAATGCTACCCAAGGCCCCACAGATTACCTAGGCCTCCTCACTGACACCTACATTCAGGGATCTGGGTCAGTCCCATGCTTTCCACACAGCCATCAATCTGGAGTCCAAGAGTTCCCTCTTGTTTAGGTCAACTATTTCTGTGTGTTAAACCAGCCCAGTTTTAACTCCTTTGCCCATCTGTTCTCTCTTTCTGACACTGGATTCCAGGAGTTCAGTTCAGTGTTTGTCTATGGGTATCTGCCTATGCTTTCATCAGTCGCTGGATGAAGGTTCTGTTTCTCAGACTCTCTGGCAATGGGATTGTATGCTTGTGCTCCCCTGATTCATGTCTAAAGTCCATAAATGAGTGAGTACATACCATGTGTCTTATTTTGTGACTGGGTTACCTCACTCAGTATGGTTTCTTCTAGTGCCTTCCATTTGCCTGAAAGTTTCAGGTTTCCACTGTTTTTTTTTCTGCTGAATAGTACTCCATTGTGTAAATGTACCACATTTTCTCTAGCCTCTCTTTAGTTGAGGGACATCTAGCTTGCTTCCAGGTTCTGACTATTACAAATAATGCTACTATGAACATAGTGTAACAGACATCCTTGTTGTATGAATGTGCATCTTTTGGGTATATGCCTAAGAGTGGAATTGCTGGATCTTGTGGTAGATTGATTCCCATTTTCCTGAGGAATCTCCATACTGATTTCCAAAGTGGCTGTACAAGTCGGCACTCCCACCAGCAGTGGAGGAGTATTCTCCTCTCTTCACATCCTCTCCAGCATAAACTGTCATTGTAGTTTTTGATTTTAGCCATTCTGATGGTATCTCAGAGTTGTTTTGATTTGCATTTCCCAGATGGCTAAGGATGTTGAACACTTTCTCAAGTGTCTCTCAGCCATTGCGAATTCTCTATTTAGTTCTGTACCCCACTTATTGATTGGATCCTTTGGTGTTTTGGAGACTTGCTTCTTGAGTTCTTTGTAAATTTTGGAGATCAGCCCTCTATCAGATGTGGGGTTAGTGAATATCTTTTCCCAATCTGTGGGTTGCCTTTTTGTCTTGCGGACTGTGTCCTTTGCCTTATAGAAGCTTCTCAGTTTCAGGAGGTCCCATTTATTAATTGTTGATCTTAGTGTCTGTGCTGCTGGAGTTATGTTCAGGAAGCAGTCTCCTGTAGCAATTCTTTCAAGGGTGCCTCCCACTTGAGGGCCTGGCTTTTTAAATTTGGATTCTGGAAATCAAACTTATGCTTGCAAGGCAAGAATTCTACTGATAGATCTTTTTCCTGCTCCAGCCCTGAGAAATCCAGAGGTATTTCATGTAAGTTAAGGCATTGACCTCCTTGGACCTAGGAATTGGAAGCTTTATCCTTAGTTTATTCCCATTGGAACTGTGCTCTCCTCTACTCCATCCATTGTGCTTTTAGGCAAGGCAGTAAGCAAGTGGCTCTCACCTGACCCATGATGTGATAAATGTTAGGCTTTATTTGCGTTCTCCTGCTTTGACACTTCGGTGGTGGTGAAAGAGAAACGTCCCTCAGAGGCTCACATATTTGAACCCTTGGTCATTGTTGGTTGTGCTATTTAAGGAAGTCCTAGCAGGTGAAGTCTTGCTTGAGTAATGTGTATTACTGGGGGGAGGTGGACTTTGAGAGTTTGTAGCCTCACCCCACTTCCAGTTGTCACTCTCCACCTTTTGTGTGCAACTTAAGATGTGAGCTCTAAGTTTCCCACTCTGGCCTCCTGCTGCTGTGGTGCTTCTCTATATGGACTTTGTAAACCAAGATCAATTCTTTCTCCTCTAAGTTGCTTTTGGTCATCATGTTTTATCACAGCAACAGAAAACTAACACACATACTCTATTGGCATATAGCTGCTAATACAATGTAATTATTTAACTTTTGCCAGCACAGAAATGTTCCATCCCTACTACTGGTTGAATATCCCTTATCCAAAATGTTGGGTCAGAAATGTTTCAGATTTAGATATATTTTGATTTTTTTGTTGAACATCTCTAATTCCCAAATCGGGAGTCTGAAGATATTTTAGCATGACATGATGTTCCATAAGTCTCATTTTGTATTACTTTTGGAATTCAGGTATCAGGATTAGGGATGCTCAGCCTCCTCTGTTTATTGAGCACTTATAGTGAGCTAATGCTGCCATAACCTCTTTTCACATATGTGGAGGTTTAAATAGGAATGACCTCATGGGTTCACACGTTTGAATGCTTGGCCACTTAACCAGAGTGGCACTACTTGACAGGGATTAGGAGGTATGGCCTTGTTGGAGGAAGTGTGTCATTGGGGGTGGGCTTTGGGGTTTCAAATGCTTGAACTGAGAGCAGTGTCTGTCTCTTCCTTCTGCCTTTGGGTTAGGATGTGGAGCTCTTAGCTACCATGTCTGCCTGCATGCCACCATGTTCCCTGCCATGAAGATGATGGACTAAACTTCTGAAACTGTAAGCCAGCCCCAATTAAATGTTTTCCTTTATATGAGACATTCCAGCCACGGTGTCTCTTCACAGCAATAGAACACTATCTAAAGCGACATCTTGACTTATTTAACACTCTGAATCCTGTGGACATTATACTCATATCATGTATAAGCATCTGAGTTTTATGACATCAAAGAGTCTTGCCTAACTGAATAACGAGCTGCATGGCAAGGCAGTGGCAGAAGCAGGCTTTCTTTCTCTCAGTGTCTTTTGTGTCACACCATTCCTTCTTTCCTGTCCCTTACATACTATCCCGTGACCTGGCAGGACAGGTGCCTCCAAGCTCAGGTCCTGCTCCCCCCTCATTCCTTCTGCTCTCAGGATGATGGAAAAGCTAGTTTCATCCTCCAGGAAGATGCCATTTTCCAGAGAACTAATGCTGGCCCGGAGCCCCATTAGTTGGCTGGTGCCATAGATTTCAGGGCAGCTGTTTAATGGGTTGTGAAGCTAGTTCACTGCTGGGTCACCCCATCCCAGCAGACCCTGAGTGAGGCATTTACAGATGGGTGCAGGTTAATTCTACCGCAAGTGTGTTCTGTGGCATACACTTCCCAGGGCAGCCTGGTGAATCAGACGTGTTGAATAGCAGACTTCCCAGACCCCTGCCCACTCTGAGTCTTACTCCAGCTGGCTGCTGCTTGTAAACGATGTTTGAATAACTGTGCCAGCATACACGTGATGACGAGCTGGAGCTGGACTGGGAAGTGGGGTGCTTGCCTAGGTTTCAACTTTGCTCTCTCTGACAAAAGCATCAATAAACCCCAATCTCCGAGGACAGAACATCCTACCACATTCCATGGAATAAAAATTATGAGTCCATTTTATTTATTCCCTGCTCTGGGAGGTGTCAGTCAGCTTACAATGTCACCTTGGCCAGTCAGATGCTAATGCATATATTTTGGTAACAGTAAAAATCAGGAGTCTGTAATTGTTCCTATGAATAGTATGCCCGGAGACACATGTTAGTGTTATTCTAAGTCATTCTGTTCTTCCATGGCTTTTGCTCCCCACAGCCCCTCATGCTAGATAGTGGTTTTCATGAGGCAGAATTGCTAAGTGAAGAAGGTTACTTGAGAGAAATGCAGTTTGCCCTGTTGTCCTGGGTTAAGTCATCAATAACTTGCCCTGTCAATCTGGGAAGTGTCCTGTTAGAAACAAAAACAACGGTCCTTTTATGACATGGTAAAGAATGCTGGGGTCCAGAGCCAAAGTGGGAACTTTCTTAATTCTCTTTTTGAACTTCACTTTCCATGTCTCTAGAGAGGAGAGAACAATGGCTACTGTCTTTGAGAGTTGTCTTGAAGATGCAGCACTGTGGAACTCTCAGAACTCATGAACAGTCTGAAGGGGCTAACACAACAAGCAGCTGATGAAAACTGAGTTTGCTGTGCTATGAACGACTTGCAATTTTTTGTGTACAAGAAACCAGAACTTGATTTTTACAATGCAATCTATTTTATAACTCAGATGCCCCAGCTTCTATGTTTCTTGAGGCTGGTGATGGTAATATTTAATAATGAGCCTATGTTCAAATTTTAGCTGGGCCAATCACTAGTTGTGCAAGTTCACATGAATTACTTCTCATTTCCTCTTTTTATTGTTTTCTTGTGTAAGGTGGGCTAATGGTTTCAGCTCAGAGCCTAGGACTACAGACTACAGGTTTTCAATTTGTATCTCCTTTTAACCTGTAGCTCATTCACTCCATGGCTGTATGACCAAGGATGACTGTGTTGACCTGACCTAACCTTGTCGTGTCTAGATGATCAATAGAATTTTTACCCTACTTCAGTCTTATTTATCTTGAGGACAAAATGCCTCTAGCCTAAAAGTTTTATTTTCAGTTGAGTTACCCCAAATTGCTTGCGTCTAGACTGGGTCTCAGAGTATTTAGCAGACAACCTCTAACTTTATCATAATTCCATCCTTTATGCTAAATGGCACATTGCCAGAGGATGGCAGTTGACAATTGCCCTGATGACTACTAGTAATAAAAAAAACCTAATAACAAGAGGTGGTACCAATGCTTGAGATCCATGCTGATACCCAGGACCATGTCTGGGTCCATGGTTCTACTGCAGTTGGGGAGTATCATGATGTTTATGGTCCATGTTACCACCTAGGGCTGTTTAGATGTTTATGGGCCATACTGTTACCTGAAGCCATGTTGATGTCTGTGGGCCATGTTCCCTGTGAGGGTTATGATGGTATCTGTTGCCCGTACTGTTAATGTTTATGGTCTGTAATGCTACCAGAGACCATGCTGAGGTCCATGGCACATGCTGACCCCAGAGACCATGTGGTTGTATGTGGTCCATGTTGTTACCAGAAACCATTTGGATGTCCATGATCCATGTTCTCCCTGTAAAGGGCAAGGGAATTACTTTTGCAGTGGTATTGATGGTTACAGTGGGGAAGAATTCAGTTTTCTCTAAGGGTCTGGCCACTGGGCATTTGATCATGCTCCACTCCAGTGAGTGAGTATAAACTGGGCATCTCTTCTTCTTTTTCTTCTTTTCCTCCTCTTCCTCTTCTACCTCATCCCCCTCCTCCCCTTCCTTCCTGTCTCCTCCTCATTCTTCTCTTCCCCCTCTTCCTTTTTGTGTGTGTGCACGCGTGCATGCTTGCGTGCGTGTGTGTGTGTGTGTGTGTGTGTGTGTGTGATGTCACAAGAGTGAAGGGTGGACATAGGAAGACTTTGAAGTGAGTGTGCTTGGGATTCATAATGTAAAATTCCCAAATAATCAATAAAAATATGGAAAAAAGGAATTGGTACTAAAATTCCTGGACAATCTCTTGTCAATCCCAGAAAAGACAGGAACATTCTTCCTCTTAGTAGCCAATCTCTCACCCTGATATCTTATGCCTTGCCACTAAAGCCTGACAGTTCCTATCATCACGTCAAGTTACTCTGCAGGCGTACCACTTCTTATGTACTTGCCAAAGAATGAGCATCTCTATTTCCACTAAATCAACATTCAGTCTTTGTGGTTCCACAATTCCATGACTGGAGAGAGAATTAAGTTCTAAAAAATTAGTACCATATTTGGCACCCCAGTTGGAACATAGTCTGATGAGTTATATTCCTCATTGGAGAGCTACTTTTTTGTGACTAAAAAGGCTGTTATCAACAGCAAAGGGATATTTGGTTTCTAGGTCCTGATGTAAGGTAGCGATATTTGCCCTAAAGATATAAATAAAGTTGATGGTGGAACCTGAGGAGGGTAGCTTGAGGGGAACAGACATTGGTTTTCGGAGGTTGAAAGTCACCTTCCTTTCAAGACCGGCTTATTTCCAGGACTTAGGGTCTCTCCTCTGGGAAGCTGAGAGATATCTGTTATGGACCCAGGGTGTTGAATGGACCTTGGGAGCCAGTGGTCCAATAACAACCTTCCTGGAACTTTTCTGATATGGGGATCTTGGATTAATATGTATTTGTCTTATTACTATAATAATCGACACACCTCAACATCCTGTCTTAATTGTGATATTTTATTTTGTACAAGAAATTTCCTTGTCCTTGGCCAAGATTTTCTGAGACTATTCTTCCTCTGTATTCTAGCCATTTAGTTTTTAGTTTCTAGGGCTTTTCATCTTAACCTCTTTCTTCATGAAAAAAGGCAGACATGTGTCCTGGAAGAGGTATCTGTGGAGTAAGAGCCCATGGCAGGTTCTCAGGCTGAAGACATCATCTTTGGGATATCTGATCTGGTTCTCATCAGACACAAAAGAAGTATCTCCTGTGTTATGCAATTATTTTGTGTTCATTTGTTGTTCTGGTTCTGTGCTTGTGGTCGGGGTTAAGACATTAATCTGATGGCTGTTGAAGTAGATACTACGAGGAATTTATTTTGCTAACTCTTGTTGTAGTCACCAGAGAGGCCCCATTGAAAAAGATTCCTGGAAATAGGTGTGGGTAAGGGTTTAGGCTCACCAAGGCAAATTGTCTCCAGAAATGCTAAAGCTCAATTTACCAATCTACTTGCAACTGCTTCATTTTCAAAGAGACTGTTTCTTGAACTTGCCTTTTGGCTCATGAACATCTTATGATTTTTGTTTTTGTTTTTGTTTTGGATCACATAGGTGTAAGTTTTTGTTCTCATTTAGCTGGTATGCCTGAGCTAAAACATTTCATATGAACAACTCTGTGATAATTCTTCACCTGCAGTTACAAAGGATACATGGGAAGTTTCAGGACCCTGTCTATTTATTTTTCTTTCTTGTGCTTTTCATGTTCACTTAGAAAGATGGAAAACTTCTGATAGCCCTGATAACTAAAGTTGAGGGAGGGCTTGGGACATAAAAGACAAAGACAAGATAAACATTTTTTGTGGGTCCTGTCTAAATTTTGAAGCAGTGTGAGATGTTTTAAAATTTGTAACAAGCTCTTTGTAAAAATGATAACAACCTGCAATAAATCAGAATAGGAAAAGAAAGGTCCTAATGCCAAAGGGAACTCCCCTGTTGGGTGACCTGGAGAGTGCTCTTCTGCCCAGGTCCCTAAAAGCCTACATCTGATTAGAAGAAAGTTAGGTTAGGACTTAACCACAATTCCTCAAAGTTCAACTTCCTGACTCTGTGAAAAGGTTCCTGCTGTGAAGGCAGCTGCTTTCTTGCTGATTGGCTCTTAGGGTGGGGAAGGGATCCAGGTCAACTTAAGGCCACATGGGAATCTCACCTATTGACATCGTTGCTTTCACTGGGCTTTCATTTTGGCCCCTCTTGGCCATCTTCAGGTTAAGTAAATTTTCTACCCTGTTTCAGACAAGAGTCACAGTTTGAAAAGTTCAGCTTCCGGATCAAAGATTATGTGGGGATGTGGAGGTGGTAGCCAGGCTGACAGTCTAACTTTAAAAACTGGGAAGTGATACTCTAAATGAAAGCTATAAATTCTTTCTTTTTGGTCTATTTTTATGTTATGTTATATATATGTGCAATGTGGGTACTGAGAATTAAACTCAGGTCCTCTGGAAAAGCACCCAGTACTTTTAACCACCAAGCCATCACTGCATGCCCAAATTTCTCATAACTTAAAAATCCTTTTCAGTAACTTAAAATATTATTATATGTTATAACTATGTTCATATAGTATGTATGTTATGTTAACAATGTTCAGTATTATTTCTAATTCAGTAGAGTGAAAATATCACAGAAACTCAGAAAGTGCAGAGAATAAGAATCTGTCAAGTGCTTGGCCACAAATGGGGCACCTGTATCACAGCTCACCCCCACCCAAGGCTCAGGGATCATTGCGGAAGATGGGTAGAGAAGACTGTTAGAGCCATATCTCAGAAAGTACTGGAGAGAAAGAGTGTCTTTTGATAGAGAAGATCCTACGCTCATGAACTCATAGCAGCGTGGTTGCCTGCACAAGGCCTGCCCAAGATCAAGCCAGTAAACATTACATTGTGGATGGAGGGGGTTCATGAGTCCAGACTCCTACCTGTGGCAACAGTGACAGTTGATGGGGCCTTGGAAAGAGAGTCAGTTTTCTTTTTAAGAGTGTGTCTGCTGATATATATATATTCACCATGGCCAGTGGATGGCCCCACATTCCTGAGTAGGTGGACAGCACAAACTGAACTTGGAGACTCTTTGTAAAAGAGGAAGACATAAAATTGGGAATGGGTTGGGGATAGATCTAGGAGGAACTGGGAAGCAGTGAGTGTGAACATAATAAAAATCCATTGTATTCATTTTGAAATTCTCAAAGAAAATATGTGCAGAAATAAAAAGATATTAGTGAGTTAAACTGTCATATCAGTTATCAATAAGTTTAAAGTCTATGTGCTTTGACATTTTGCTTTGATACATTAAGGAAATACAGTGCTAAATATATTTGGATCCATTTGTAAACTTAAAATTATGTTAAGAAAAAGCACACAATTCTAAAACTTAGAAATTTACAGTATTAAGGATTAATAACAGTATCGGAATGACACTAATTCTGTATGCAAGTTAAATGAATCATTTTATAAGGGAACTCACAAGATATGAATGTATTAGGGAAAAAGCATAAAATACGGAGGAGGGAGAGACAGTAGTTTAGAACAAAGGGTTTGGACAAGTTGTGGAAAGTTTGAGAAAGTAGTAAAGGGCTTAGAAAGGAATGAAACTCCCTGGAAGAGGTGGCTATGCTCTGGCATTATCACAGGCCAGTGCCCCATTATCCAGAGAAAAACATACAAGTTAAAATTAGAGCTATTCCTGCTTCAAGACTGGTGGAACTAGACTTCAAGACTGGTGGAACTAGACTTCAGAACATCCAAGGACCAAATGGAGAGACCAAAGCCAATGAAGATAAGGGGGTAAGAGGACAGTAGATATTTTGGCCATTACCCTCTAAGGCCAGCCAAACACAGGACATGACAGAACCCTCTATAAGGGACTTGCAACTCCAATTAGACCACTGTCCCTTTGATTAGAAGAATCATGAAGACTTGAGAGACTAAAAGCCAACTAGTGCATATTTTGCACAAGGTCACTAGAGGAGAACATGTCCGCATTGATCCTGAACATGTCCAGGGAGATCTTGACTAAGACATGACCCAGAGATGACACCACTGGGCCGGGGACAAGACTGAAGGAGCCAAGAGACTCATCATACTGCCATAAAAGTAACCCTGGAGAAAACTTGGATGAGCTACAATGAATCCTAATTTGTTTGGTCAGGTGTTTTGTCACAGTGGCTACTGAATGTTGTTCATTCTGTTGTCATTGTCTGTGTTAGGATTTCTGTTTGAGTTGTTGAAGCCATGCACTAAAGAAATCTTTAGGTCTGCAAAGTAGACGCCAGATCCAGACTCTAGGCCTTGTGTTAGAAGCTGTAACACAATCTATGTGGTTTTAATCAGTCAAAGGTCACATAGGAATATACACATCTTTATTTGGCATCTTTACTTGGTTTTTGGCCAGGTTTTTTTCCTCTAAGCTGTGTCCTATGATTTGTAATGATTCTTTTTATCCTAGGATTAAATCAATCAATGATAAACACCCAATTCTTTCTGTAGTTTTTATATAAACATGGGTAGAATCATAGAAGGAGGAGGAAGGAGCCTTTGGGCTTTTAGAAAAATTAACCTGTCTTGATGATTAAGCTCCAGCCATCTCAGCCCTGAATACTTAGAGCATGCTTAAAGAGGCACTGCCAAACACTACCTGCCTTTGTCCCTTAGAGAGTCCTAATGGTCTCCCACTTCTTCTGCTCATTGGGCCTGTCTGGTCTCATTCCTAAGTGAAAGGCTGGAGGCCATAATGGTACAGATGATAACCACTCCAAGGTTGTGAACAGCTAGAACTGCAACCAGGCCATAGCCAAGTCTCTGTAAGATTAGTAAGGGACAATGTTTCACTCACTAGTAGTTCTTTTAATGACTTCCAAATTCAGGTTTAAGATACACAAGATAAACCATCACCTTTAGCATGCTTCAGGAACAGGGATAGAATACAAGGGAGGATTGTTATCTGTCCTGAGTCCCTGCTAGTTACAAGGCCTTGGTAAGCTCTCCCAACCCTAAACTTGATTGTCTCAAACAACAGGATGCCTATGAGTCAACAGTTTATCTTTAGGCAGGCTGGGAAAATCTAACTGGACTCAAGATGGCTGCTGGAATGTCTATGAGACAACCCTTTAACTTCAATACCTCAGGTGGTAAATGACACCTCCAGGTCATGGCTGTTGACAACTTCCACAATGACGACTGGAAAGATCCCGAGTTCTGGGTTTAAAGGTGAGCACCACCACTGCCTTGCCACCTCGGCAACTCTTATAAAGAAAAACATTTAATTGTAGTAATGGTTTACAGTTTCAGAGGTTCAGCTGTTATCATCATGGTGGGGAGCATGGTGACATGCAGGCAGACATCTTGCAGGTAATGGGAAGTGGACCATGTGTCACACTGAGTGAAGCTTGAACAAAAGGTACCTAAAAGCCTGTCCCCACAGTGACACACTTCCTTCAACAAGGCCACACCTCCCTGTGGTATTTTGAATGTAATTGCCCCCATAAGTTCATAGGGAGTGGCACTATTGGGAGATGTGGCCATGTTGAAGTATGTGTAGCCATGCTGAAGAAAGTGTGTCACTGTGGGAGCAGGCTTTGAAGTCTCTTTTGCTCAAGCTTCTCTCAGTGTCACAGTCCACTTCCTGTTCCCTTCTGATCAGGATGTAGCCAGCACCATGTTTGCAGCATGCCACCATACTTCCAGCTGCATGCTCCCAGCCATGATGATAATGGACTGAACCTCTGAAACTGTTAGCCACCACCACAATGAGATGTTTTCCTTTATAAGAGTTGCATGGTCATGGTGTCTTCTTCACAGCGATAGAAACCCTAACTAAGACACTCCCAATAGTACCACTCCCTTTGGGGGCCATTTTCTTTCAAACCAGCACAGTTTGGGATCATAGATTAGCAACACCATCCACTTTTTGTTTCCATCTCCCAATTTTAAAGTTGGGATTTAGTGTTTTCTAGGCATTAAACCTCTAACTGTGTTCAACACCCATAATTATTTGATGCACTTGAAAT